TTTTTTCTGGATGTAGCTAGCACTGAACACACTTTGGAAATTTCAGAAAGGTGCCTTGAGATGCCATAAACTTCTCCAGAGTATGTAGTGTGTTTCCCAAGGAAAGACTTGGACCTGTGGGAGCATGCTGTGCGTTCCCAAGAGCACCCAGGAAACACAGAGTTGTTGTAGAGTTCAGACAGGGGTCATTTTTGCTTCCATCCACAACTTGCTCAAGTCATGGGGTGGTGGGGCTATAACTATTGATCATCACTGCTTGTGGGGGCATCTAGCAGCCACATTACCAGAAACTGCCTACTGGACAGTAGGCCCTTCYTTGCTCCATGTTTTTCCCTTCTGTCAGTGTCTGTTGGATTCAGACATGGAGTAATACGAGCTGTAGCTACACTTGTGTCTCCTCACAGGAAGGCAGAGTCCCTCTCATGCCATTTTTAGCTCTGTCTGGCGGTCCTGGGAGCGGAGCCAAGCGCTTCAGCACCCGCCTCCTCCAGCAGCCTGTTGCTCGGACTCAACCCAGCTCCCTTCTCTTCAGCGCAGGTCGTAATCTCAAGGAATGGCTGCGGGAGCAGTTCTGTGACCACCCCATCGAGCACTGTGAGGACACCCGGTTGCACGACGCGGCCTACGTGGGGGATTTACCCACGCTCAAGAGCCTGCTGCAAGAGGAGAGCTTCCAAAGGTGAGGGGCACGTCTCCCACCCGGTGCCAGCACACCTCCTTCCTCAATCAGCACCTTAGCGCTGGCTCTGGAGGCCCTTACAGGACCAAACGAGGAATCAGATGCAAGGTCTGAACTCAGCTCTGAAACTTTTAGCTAAACTTTTTCTTCCTCTGGGCTGGCTGCCCCAAGCCGTCTCAGCCCCTTCTCTCTTTAGCCTGCTCCTTCCTGAAGCCCATCCTGTTGGCAGAAATGCCTTGCTCCACTTTTGCAGGGAATGTATTTGGTGGCAAATTGCTCTGCTTACCCATGGAATTATGCTTTTTAGTCCTCTAGGAGGCAAATCTCAAGCTAGTCCTGTGAGGTTCTTAAATGGGCAGTGTCCACACATAAACGCTCCTCAGATCATGGTGGAAATATAATACTGTGAAAATAGGAGTCTACATATGATGGAAAAAACATATAAAAGGGATTACAATCAAATATAAACCTGAAACACCCTCCGTTACAAAATCTGGCCATAGYTAAGTCTGTGACCATGGGGACAGTTAATTAATTTTCCTGCACCATGGAGAAAACTGCTTAGAATGCAAATGTCTCTCTCAGCCTTAAAAAAGAGTCCTTTCAGCAAGAACAAGAATGAGCCAGCCCCTCCTCCTGTCACCAAGGTGGCTCTGTGGAGCCTCTTCAATCCCTGAAGTTTTTCCTGGTATCGTCTGTCTCATGATGTGTGGGAAGCATATCACAGCYGTGCTGGTTGGGCTGGTTCAGGCTTCGAGTGAGCTGAAAGAGGCATCCTGCCCTGCAGGGAAAAGGCAAAGTTAGGCAGTAGGAGAAGGTCTGGACATGTAGACTTATCACCAGAATGAGCAGAGAAGTGACTTCTTTGAATCTGAGGGCAGATACAAAGTGGAGATTTCTCAGCCTCCTAGAATAAGACTGCACAATTGAGGACTTGGTGTGAGGCTCGTATTAGTCTTCTTCCTAAAGCCTGGTTGAAGAAAAAAAATAGGGCTTTATTCTCCTGGCAAATGGCGTTAAACATGGTATATAAAAGTTGCTTTGTCCACCGTGTGAGAATCGACCACTGCACTGGCAAAGGGGCATGTTTTCCTGTCTACTTTGACCTTAAAGGAATTCCTACCTCTATGCATGTTGTTGCTGAAAAGGTACTTTCAGTGATTTGAAGAAAATTTGTGATTAAGAGCTGGACATTTATGAGACATTTAGGGCTAGCCTGAGATTTAGATGAGCATGAAGATCAGTGCAGGTGATTTCAGAGGGGGATCTGAGCAGCCACAAACCAGAGCCATCTCCTCTATAACCTGAGCAAGGTTCTTTCTTACAGTACTGGTGTCTAGCAAGGATGCTAAAGGCCTGTTTATGTTGTTCAGAGCAGTGTGCCTACCCTCCCAGATCTAGCTCCTTCCTGGGAGGGCTTTAGGGAGGGATTTGCATTMATCTATCCTTATGTGCCAGGCCAAGCAAGCACATTGCCAGTGGTGTGGTATGAATGATCACCTACACCTCCAGGCATCCCTCCATCCTCCTGCTCTTTCTGTTACTCTTCTGCTTTGGCATCATTATGTGCCTGTCAGAGCAGCTTGGAGTAAACCACTGAAACCACTGTTTTAGCCTCCAGCTCTGCCTGGCTGCATGCAGCACCTAGCACAACAGTGCCAAGTTATTTGTAGAATTCTTAGGGGCTTAAAGTGCTTAAAATGCCGGGGAAAAGCCTCAAGGGGGACATTCAACCTTCCCCAGCATCATACTCCAGGGCTGGGGGAAGCAGGGTGGCCCAAGGTGGTGCGAGGCCCTCTCTAACCCAGTGTTTCTCTTGTGACCCGGCAGCCGGATCAACGAGAAGTCGGTGTGGTGCTGCGGCTGGCTGCCCTGCACGCCGCTCCGCATCGCCGCCACCGCCGGCCACGGCCCCTGCGTGGACTTCCTCCTCCAGAAAGGGGCCGAGATTGACCTGGTGGACGTGAAGGGACAGACTGCCCTCTACGTGGCTGTGGTCAACGGGCACCTCGAGTGCGCCAAGATCCTCCTGGAAGCTGGGGCTGACCCCAATGGCAGCCGGCACCACCGCAGCACCCCTGTCTACCACGCGGCACGGGTGGGCCGGGCGGACATCCTTCGGGAGCTCATCAGGTGAGAGTCAGGCTGGGAATGGTAGGGAATACAGGATACAACTCCGCTTCTCTYTGTCTCTCCACCTCCCTCAGGCTCTTTTCCCCCCGGGGCCTGTGGAACTTGCAGCATCCATTTCTTCCTTTACCTTACCCTTCACTCCATGGTGTGTCCAGTGGGACCACAGACCTGATGAAGCTGGCCAAAAATGCCACTGATGTGTGAAACCACCACGCCTCATTTCCTAAGACAAAAATGTTATTTCTGGCCCCACCATCAGAGCCAAGCATTGCAAACCATCCGCTCCTTTTCCTCCATGGCCCTACTCCATCTCAACAGTCTGTTGCTGGCTCTTGCTTTCATCTGGCTCCAGGCCCCTCTGTTCAGTCCCACCTGGCTGAGTTTATGAGCAAGGTGGATCTCTCAGATGGTAAAAAAAAAAAAGAAAGAGAGAAAGAGAGAAAGAGAGAAAGAGAGAAAGAGAGAAAGAGAGAAAGAGAGAAAGAAAGAAAGAAAGAAACAGATCTTTGCTGAGCTTGGCCTCCATGACCATTTTTTGTCTTTGGGAGGAGAGATGCCTGTCGCCAGGACCACTCATTTTTGGCTGCCTGGTACCTGCCCATCACTTTAACAGTATCTGGGCATCTCTTTCATTTCCCTATCCCTTGCCAGAGACCTGAACCACAGCTYGATGGAAGGAGATCTGGCATCTCTGGGTTGCAAAGTAATAGAGATCATTCTGGGGAGCTGAAAGGTAGCTGAGGCTGGTACTGTCTCTGCTGCGCTTGTTTGTATGCAGCACTAAATTTGGGGCATCCAGYCAACTGGCCTTTCTGCACCATGCTGAGCCAGAAAGTAGTTTATCCTTRGGAACACAGAGCCATTCCCTGAAGGACCACTGGTTATGGATGTCTTATCCACCCAGGTGGACCAACAGCTTGCCCAGCAACAAAAACCTGGGTTAATTCTTCAATAGTCTCCAAAAATCGTTTTCCTGGTTCAGAGGGTTGAGGGGCATGCAAATATTGCATGAGCAATCTGATTGCAGAGCACCTGATTCCTTATCCAGCCTCTAGCTGCAGCAGGGTTTAGCAGTGCTGGGGGAATACCAAGACCCTCTGTCCYTAGGGAATTCTGTCTGCAGCACCAGCAGCAGACAGGGCACTAGCAGCACGCTGTGTGAACTCGGATTTTCACCTCTGTGGCATGCTGTGATACTTCCTTTCTTCTAAATTGGAAGTTCTCTGTATAAGGGACTGTAGTGAGCAGGTATTTGGTTTGTTGATGCCAAACAATAAGGAATTACAAGGGGCAAATACAGGTTGTAGAAAGAAATAGTAAAAGAAAAGAAAGTTTATTTGGATTCCCACAGAAACACTTTCCAAGGAATCCCCTCAGTGACTGTAAATGCTAGAAAACAACAGCAGAAAAAGATTTGGGTACAAAAATTCTACAGTACTTGGGGATTTTCTCCATTCCTTTTTGTTTATGGGGAAATTATTTTTTACAGAAATGCAGCTTTAAGGAAAGCTGCAAGGAAAAAGAAAAGGAGAATGTTCCCCCCTCCCTGCTTGCTCCTTCCTCTGGAAGCTGACACAAGGATGTCCCCATCACCATGTACTTGTTGGCACAGGATTTAGGCTCACAAGCTGCATTCCCGAGAATCTCCCGTGATATATCCGCTAACACAGGATGAAATGTAGCAAATGGTATTTCAGCACACGGAGAGCTGATGTATTGATTTATGTGTCTACTCCTTGGGATATCTTGCCAGCAATATTAAAAGCAAGATTTTGGAAAACTTTCAGGATTAAAAATTAACTGGAGGTTGTCCAACATCTTTTTATTAGACAATGTCTCTCCCAAGGCTGCTAAGTTAATACCAAATTGTCAGATTGCCCAAAATTCCTAATATCTTGGAGTATGGACTTCATAGATCTATTCAGAGTTTTGTACTTTAAAACGCAGCCGTATGCTACAAAGCTCACTCAAAAGTTTAGAGAATGTTGATCGAAAAGATTTGGCAGGGAGAATGCAATGAATAGGACCCCKTTTACTGAAATATAAAGACATATTTTGGATTACTTATCTACAGATAGCCCCAGAGTCCTGAAAAGAAAGCCCTGCCTGGTCAGGCTGTCTTCCTTTGCACATTCATTGCCCTGGTACTTTGCTGCAGGTGTCTAAACTTCACCTGGTTCCTTTTTTTTTTTTTTTTTTTTTTTTTTTTTTTTTTTTTTTTTTTTTTTTTTTTTTTTTTTTTTTAATCATATGGTAGCACAATCAGGATTCACAATTGCTGAACCAGCTAACCAAGCAAGAGGTGAAATTGTATCCATTAATAGTAAATACACGTGCAGCCATGGAATGGTGATCCATTTTATAGGCAGACTGGCGGAAATATTTACAGTTACACTGCCAGGGTAGAGATTACTTTCCTAACAGCTTGTTATGTGATCATGCTGCGATGAGCTCGACTGCTGTGTTGTGCTTGCAACATAACTGAGGGTGACCCAGCACGCTAAGGATGAGAGTCCTCCTGCCTCACTGAAAGCACTGCAGAAGAGAGYTGAGAAACCACACTGGTGCTTCAGAGATGTAACTAACTGTATGGAAAAAGGAGAAAATCATGTTTTGCTGTAAAATGGGAATCTCCACAGTAGGAATTTTCCAGTAGGATAATGGGAAGAAAAAAAAAAAAAAGGAAAAAAAAGAGAGGGAAGGATAGAAATGTAGGAGTATGTGGTGCGCTGGTGAAAACTATGTCCGTAGGAGGCAATAGACTTACAGGGCCCTTCAGAACTCTATAGCAACATGGATGATTCCATCCAAAATGTTTGGATAGTCTAATTTTAAGATTTTTTTTTTTTTTTTTTTTATCTGCAGAGAATGTGTGATTTCTATGGAGAACAGCCATCTCATTTAGCCCTCTGCTTCAACGCAGGTGAAGTCAAGCACATTTAGCAAGGCRATCAGAATGATACTAGAAGGTGGTAACGTCCCTTAGGGTGCAGTGCTGGGCTGGCTGGCCGGACCAGGAGGTGCAGGTTGGCCCCATGGGCTGGCGCAGAGACCAGCTCTCACTCTGCAGCATCACTTCTCGCCCTGCTGTTCTCCACCCTATAGGTCACCTGGGAGCCTAACCACGATGTTCCTGGCTTAGGAGATCTCATGTGTATATAGTGTGCTGTTTGCAGCTCTTAGACAAGTTTTCTTGACCCTTGTTCTGTGCATGCTTAATTTAAATGAGCCTATTTCTGTTCTCAGAGTTAAAGCATGTGGTTAAGTATTTGCTGGACCTGGACCAACCCCTACTGGGTTCAGAAAGAGCTATGCATGCCTTGAGGCAGAATTTGTCCCCAGGTGGTTTCCTTATATGTTTTATTAACTGCAAAGAAGAATATTATGATATCTAGGAAGACAGAAAAACCCGGTTTTCTGAACGCATGCTTTGCAGTTTGAGAGAGGGACTGGCGGCTGAAGGTACATTTTATTACTGTGCAGGGAAAGGACGGGACTTYTGATTGATCTGTAACTCTGTAATTAAAAACAACTACTCGTTCGTGGATTGTGTTCTCTCTCTCCTTGCTCCTCTGAAGGCTGCATGTGAAATAGATGCAGCTGCAGTGTCACCATTGCTTGGGTGTTACCCAGCCTTGAGCCAAACATAAGATAGATTCTTATTTCTGCTGTGACTTCTTTCTGCAGCATTTTCATTTTTCAAATTCCATTCTTTTCCAGAAAGAGATACTTGGTCTTTTTGTACCTATTTACTTTGCCGTGTTCTTCTCTTTCTCCAGTATTTTAAAAAACAGGAGCTCCAAARCTAATGAACCCTCTTTTCTTCTCATTGTCTACTTGGTGCCATCTGTGCTTCCCAAAAGCATCCCATTGAGCCTAGATGCTGTGAATGCTACTTCTGTKGTTTGACTGTGCTGATTTCCATTTGAGGAGGGGTCTACCCCACTCACTCATCYAGTCTGTGCCACAACAAGCCAGAGACCACTTTGCTGTGGGCACAGGGGTCCAGACAGTGTGGCACCATGTAGTCAGGATGTGACTCCCCATGGAGTAGCATGAAGCAAGAGCTGGTTGTGAAAGGCTTGCCAGGTTTTCTCTAACATCTCATGGACRTCGTGGACTTCAGTTACTGGAGTATTGGCCAGCAAAGAGTAGTCTCATGCAGTGTCTACTATAATATATAGTTGGTGAACCGAGCTATGAGGAATGGATGGGTAGAGTGGAAGTTCAACACAATTATTTAGTATTTTTCCAATTTCCTGGAATGCCTGTAATTGGTAAATACATCCATGTGGCTGAGCTGAACACTAGGAAAAAGGCTTGTGTTTGACTCTGATGGCATTTCAACCATCCAAGCTCCTTCAGGAACAGGATTTTGTCAYATATCTTTCACTGTTGAACACAGATTTTGAGCACAGATTTCTGTTCCATTTTCTGGCTGTTTGTGCTAGTCAGATCCATTGCCTGTTTTACATTCTTGGCCTTTTGTTATCCTGATGGGGAAGTTATTTCACTGATTCCACTGCATCTCTTCAGCTGAGTCACTTGGAAACATCCTTCATTCCCCAGCAAGCCAGTTAAAGGCCAACACCATGTGCCTTTGGCTCAGGCTTAGCTGTCCCTTGTACCAAGGTCATGCCCAGCACATCTGTCAGGAGGATGAGCAAGGGAAGAAGCCTCCAAACAGCCTCTTGTCTCTCCCATCCAGGTATGGTGCAGATGTGGACGTGAATCACCACTTGGCTTCCCGGCTCCCCAGCCCTTCCTTGCGGCCTCTCACCACGCTCGTGGTCTGCCCACTGTACATCAGTGCTGCCTACCACAACCTCCAGTGCTTTAGGTTGCTGCTCCAGGCAGGAGCCAACCCAGATTTTAACTGCTGTGGGCCCATCAATATCCAAGGCTTTTCCCGGGGCTCCCCAGTGTGCGTGATGGACGCTGTCCTGCGGCATGGCTGTGAAGCAGCATTTGTCCGCCTTTTGATTGACTTTGGAGCTAATTTGAATCTGGTGAAGGTGGAGGCCTTGGGAGGTGAATCCACAGGAAGGGTCAAAGTCAACCCAGAGGCTCTGCAGGTGTTTCAAGAAGCCAGAGGTAAGTAGCTTTGACTTATTACAGTGGCTCTGGTTTTATCTTGGACTGCATTTTTTTGGTAGTTAAGGTTGGCTAACAAYGTGGTAGAGCATACTGGGTTCACGGATTTATTCATATCCGTGTGTTTTGTGCTTGCTGGCTATTTCTTCCTAAATATCACCAAGATGTCTTCTCCATTGTTGGCTTCACTAGTATCTTGAGCAAATGGCTTCCCCCAAATGAAGGCCAAATGAAGAGGCAGCAGCAACTAGGAAGGGTGAATTTTGTTCAACTCCATTTGTTCAGGCCCCTTTATTCATGTGTAAAAAAAAWTTGCAAACAGGATATACCCAATTGAAAAGTATAAAGCAATTCTAGCACACACCAAAGAGAGTTAAGAATTTAGCAAGCTATTCAGTGAGAAGTTTCTGAACTCACCAAGCTCTCCAGCCCTGATAAGACCTCCAGAGAGCTTTTAATGGCCAGGCAAGTGTTGGTCACGAGAAGACCATGGGGCTAACAYCTGTGCTACTCCCTGCTAGTCCCTTGCAAAGGAAGGATACAGTGGAGCTCCACACCTCCAGCACTTATGTGTACGTAGTAGTACGTAGGGTATGAGAGTTCACAGGTGGGTGTAAAATGGTGAGTAAAAGCTCAGTTTTTGAATTCATCATCCTCTGGGAAGTAAATGAGTTATAGAAGATGCAAGCCAAAGCCTTAAGCTCGAACACACCTGTGTTCACCTGCTATTTCTTTCCTTTTTTRGCAAAAGCAACATCAGCTCAATGTGCACCTCTATTCCAGCAGGGGCAACACCTCATAAAACGACCAGGCTCAAACACTGATGGCCAGGGCTTTGCATCAGGGTCAAAAGATGAGTTTCCCTCTGAAACTCCAGACCAAAGACATTTAAAAGGGATTCAAGACTTGGGATGCACTCCCAAAGTATATTCAGCTTTGCACATAGCTGCTTTTCAAACCCTCCTGGACTTCTGCAGAGCAGAGATGGGGATAAACCAGGGCAGGTGGGTTTAATTCATAATTATTAAATTTGAGCTTAGGAAGCCAATGGGATCGCCCTGCTTGATTTCCTTATGTACAGCAATCAGAGTAATGGAGTAATGTCTTGGAGGTCCAATTCCTGAATTGAAAAGGATACTACCGCTGTTCTCCTTGTGTTGGCAGAGCTCTCCATGAATTCAACAGAAGCCTTTGTAGGAAAGTTGGGCTAAGGCCTGAGCTGACTGCCAGTGCTGGGACTTCTCCCCACAGTTGTTGCGTCCCAGAGGATGGCTTAGTACAAAAGGAAAGTCTACATCACTTTAAAATTATCTGATCAGTAGAAAGCCTCTCTCAGACTTCACTGAGGATAATTTGGCAGGGATTCATTGGACCCACTCTGGCAGGGCTCACGTCCATAGTAACAACCCTTTGCAGTCTCCACCTTGACCTGTCAAGTTGCCCATGGGGCATTTGCAGTTGCTGCAGTGGGTTTTTTTGCCAGAGCATGTGGCCTCCTCACAGGGAGCATCTGTGCGAGGTCAGCTCTCCGGCACTGCCTTTCTGTTGCCGTGCAGAGCATCGCCTCAGCTTTTGGAGGAGGTAACGGGCTCCTCCGCTGTCAGCAGAGGCTTTGTGCCGTCCGGAGCTCAGCACAATTTACACGCTGTTATGCCTCTCTCTTTCTCCCTCCATCTCTCAGCATTTCCTCTCTGCTTTCTTCCTTGCAGGCCGCACCCGGAGCCTGTTGTCCCTGTGCCGCATAGCTGTACGAAGAATACTTGGCAAAGGTCGTCTGGATCTCATCCACATCCTTCCGATCCCAGACCCCATTAAACAGTTCCTACTTCATGAACACAGTTAAAGGGCAATCGACTGCTTTCCAGGAGAGTTTTGTTTGGTAAATGGCTGACAAAACCAGGTGCCAATCCTGACCCCACGGTCAAATATTGTACTTGCTCATGGAGTGCACATAATTCCCTGTGGTTTCACCCTTTGAATTTAGGGTGCAGTGATTGTGTGTGTCTATACTTAAGCTACCAGTTATCTAACTGGTAACTTCTTGTTTGCATTTGATTGGGCAATGAGGACAAGACCTGTGTGTGGCTGTTACATGAGCAAATACAAAATGTCCTATAGCTATTAACATGTATCTCTTCATTATGACTCTACCTCTGTTGTTGCTCCATGTTAAACGAATCCTGGGCCTCAGTGGTACTTCTGTGTAGGAAATGCAGGCTATGGGATTTCATTTTCCTCTAGTGTGCTAGGGAGTCTCTCTCCTTCTTGGTAAGAGGTTTGCAATGACACCGTTCTCTTTTTGGCATCAATATCTGGCCTTTCCCTTCCCCATGGATTCTGTGATTACTGCTGTGAAAGTGGGTGTATTTTCTTCTGTCCTCTTCTGGTGTGAAATGCATCAAGTTTCGTGTCCAGTGCTCTGTGTTACTTGGAGACCTGTTTCTGTGTCTCTGCGTGCTCCAAGGTAGCTGCTGTCCTGGCTTTCTCCGTGCTGGGAACCCAYTGTGCAGATGGGAGAGTAGCAGAACATGTAATCCTATCCCATCTACAGAGCTCCAGATGTGCCATGGCATCTTGGCTTTCCCTCCAGCACTATGATGGATGAGGCAAGCGGTGGCCAGTTCTCCCCATGACTTCCTCAGACTGACCGCGTCTCACAACCACTGCCTTAGCACAAGTGGAAAAACACATGGAGAGAAGAAGAAAAGGTAGTTTCACTGGGGAAAACATATAGTTATGGGGCCTCTACAGCGTGTGGTGGTGATGTGATGGACCTTGAGGATCACCACTCAYTACTGTGTGAGTCCTGGGTGATAGGACAAGGACTGTGACACTCAACTGAGGCCATGAAGTGAACCAGGAAGATTTCTGGTGTATCTTTGAGGAAAATGATAGCCAAACTCATCTCTGTTCACTCTGCAGGAACAGCAGTAGYAGAAGGGTTACTAGATTGAACTTTTGTGTTGCTGTGCTGGGTGTTAGTTGATCCAGTATCTATAAAAAATGTATCTGTGTGATTATGAAGAAAAAAGACATCAGAAATTCTCTCTAGATAGCCTACTTTGTTGCAACTGCAAGCAAAGGTGCAGAAATTTCAGAGATGCTTTCAGAGAAAGAGGAAAGACAGGAAGAATTGTATCTCTGTTTTTTTATTTAATTATTATTTTGATTCTGTGGCAAGCCTGGAGCRTGGTGCTGGAATGGCAGCCAATGTCCAGCTAGCCTCTCATGTATTTGGCCTCTGTGCAGTGATATTAAGTTAAGGTGATAAAATTTGCACTGCTAAGAACTGCACTGTTGAGAACAGGCTAAACTGTGGTGGTTACAGTCAGTGTCCAGATACCAATGCAAAAGTTGCTTTCAGAATCCTCCACAGATGGGATATAATGGTAAGGATACATAGTTATGGGCATGCTTTCAGGGTGGCAAGGCAGCAGSATTGCACAGTTTTCCTTTTCAGGCKTGCAGATGGTTTAGGTTTTCACCATGCTGGAGGCCAAGGCAGCCCCTGAGCTTGTTGCCTGAGACTTGTGTGCTTGCTTTATAGAAGTGTTAACATGCCAAAAAGATGCAAACAGGTTGTAAAGCCTCTTGTCACCTTGCTGGCAGTACCATAATGTTTTGCAGGARCACAGGCCAAACAGACGCTCTAGCTCCAGGGTACAGAGGCAGAAAATGAGGGAGATTGTCTTGAGAAGATGCCATGCCAACAGCTTACATGGGCCAACCTTTTTCCCTCTGTTTTTGCACTTGATCAGATAATCTTGCAGACCAATCAAGCATTAGTGCCTTTGGGAGGAAGTGGTAGGACAGACATGGAGGCCATCTGCTTCTCTGGGGAGAGCTGGCTCTGTGGTTCAATCCCCCTGGAATGAGGCATAGTGGAAAGCCAGGATAGGGGGCTTTCCCTCTTACCCATGCATAGACTCAATAGCTGGTACAGGTACAATTTCTGTGTAGGTCCCACTGGTGGGGGAAGTAAAGTGGTTTAATACTTGGACAAAGATACAGATTAACTGCTAACATACAGATAACGCTCAATGCACAGATTAACAAATCTGAAATGTTAATTGCAGGATGATAAATATTAAATCTTGAATAAATTCATGCTATTCATAGACCTTGGTGTCCTGTCCTGTAGGTACCAGTACTTTATCCTCTGACTGCTTTATCAGGTGGAGGAAGAATAGTCTTCCAGTATGATATCTGAGCAATAATATATGCCTATTATATAGCTTCATGCTATATAAGCAGCATTTATTCTTGCCTTAACTCAGATTTCACCAATCCCTTCTAGGTAGCAAATGTATTTTTGCTGGCTTGTTATCCATGAGGTGTGCTCAAGAAGTATGAACAGCACAGGAATATTGTGAAGTCAGGGCTGGAAAACTAAACCATTCTACAGTATGCATCACATATAAGGAAGAATCCCTATTATACGTGTGAATAGTATAGAAAGATATGTTGAATGGCCTTGCTATAAATGTGGATGGAATAGGATGATGAATGACAAGATTTGTAGAAGTGCCTACAGAATCAAGACTGATTTGCACTAAGCAAAACAGGTCCAAAAGCAGTCTTTTTCACATGTGTTTTCTTGTTTTTGTTGCTGTAGGGGATTTCCAGAGCACAAAAAGCTGGTAACTGGTTATACCCTACTATCATTTCCTGCCACTTGAGTGAGTTTTGCAAAAGGCCAAAGAACAGTATTTTGAGGGCTGAAGTGTTTTTTTATTCACTCTCATATCCAGTAAAGTATATTTTGCACTCAAAAGCAGCCTTTGAGTTGCAGCATCTCTTGAGACCTTCCTGTTTCAGTGAAGGAACCAGTCTAAGGACCCACACAGGTCACAAGAGATGACAGTCAGGACACACCTGTTTGAAGAGCTGCTGCTCCGTGGTTTGTTGGCTTTGCTCAGTGGAGTGAATTTGCACAGCAGCAAGACTAAACCCGAGAGCAGACTGGAGGTATCTGTGCTAGACTTGGTCTGTTTGTAGCTGAATAAAGATGTTCTAGTGCAACAGCCTGTCTGTCCATCTGATCATTTACCTCACCATGGGAAGGGAAAATGCTGCACTGCGCTSCAGAGAGCGGGCTGGGGACTTCGGGATGTGCAAAAGCCTGAATCCTGCTGGCCTCAGGGCTTTGGCTTCGAGGCTGTAGCTGACTTCTCAGCCTGTTTTCTAGCCACTGGAGGGGGCCGGAGAACCACGCTGCCTGTGAGTGTTTTATCGCAAGCAAGCAGAGCCTGGCTTCCTGCACCACTGCCAACTTGTGCATCACCAACCCTGTACGGCTTCAGGAGGGACGTGGCAGCAAAATACAAGCCACCGAGGAGGTAATGTAGTGAGGAGGACACGGAGGTTCCCTCCCCAAGGTCTCTTTCCCACAAACATTTCAGCCGTTCTTTCATGGATTCCTACGTCCTTCCAGTAATGCTGGCCTTTGCCAAGGGTGCCATGGCATCRTGTGGCAGCAAGAGGTGGCTGCTGTCACCTACTGCTGGTTGATGCTGCCTGGTGGTCCTGGCTTTCCAGCTGGTTCTTCAAACCAAGCTGAAGAAGGATCTTTAGACCTCTAATTTCAGACCTCCTTTCTTTATAAGAAGCTTATTTTCTTTGATATAGTGAAGGTCCCCTTTCTCCAGAGGCCACCACCCGGATCCTGGTCTGCCCAGCGTATTTACTTTACCCRTAATCTGAATGTGGCTCTTCATCCATTGTATGATCCTCTGGCAGAGGGTGACTAGTGTACCCAACAATGCCCAATCCAGAGAAGTTACCTGCAAGGGAAGGATTACCAACAAGGGGCAGTCCTGAAAAATCACTTATTAATCCATTCATGTGGCAGTTTCTGGAGCTGGAACTGCATTTTCACAGTTTAACGTGTCATGAAAGCAGATCTGAAGATGGTTAATAGGATTCCTCAGAATATTTTGAGTCGTAACTTACCCTTTTCCAGCATCTTATTTGCAAAACTCCCCCAAAACTAATTCTGATTATTGTTTTTGTTCCTCCTAGGAATTAGCAGCCATAGTGCAGACTCTTGCCCGTTATATCCAGACATTTTGCTGTAGGGATTACCTTCCTTAGCTTACATGGTAGGAGAAGACCATTTCAGGGACCAAAGATTCAGTCCTGGTACTCTCTGCTGCTAGGGGCTCCAGTCCCTGCTTTAGGATCCCTGCTGTTTTAGCTTAGTTAAACAGCCTGATCTATCTGATTCCAAGATCAGGAAGGAAGGCAAAAGGCAAAAGAAGAGAGAGTTTCTCCTGCACTGGAAGAAAAATCACCATACAGTTTGAATTATAGCGATTAGAATCCAAGATGAAGAAGCCCTAGTTTGAAATGCTAACATATACCCAACCTCCATATGCTTCYAGCACAGAAACGGCTCACTCCTGCCTCTCAGTGCAAAAACTACCTCTGAGACTAATGCAGTAGCCACTGCTGGAGGGAAAAAGAAGCGGGATGGGGCAATGCATAGAGCCTGTTCCCACTGGATCTCATTCCCAGTGGTAAGTGGGGAACCTGTTGTCCATAACTCTGCTTAGGGGGATGGGTCTCCATTCCACAAATAAAGAACAAGACATTTCCTGTCAACTGGGAGAGATCTCCTGTATATTTAACCCATAAAGGCTGGGACAATAAACATTGAATTGTTTTAATAGCTGCTAGATTGCAGCCATTATTTTGCATGTTATTAGCCTATTCCCTCTTGGTTATGTCCTTTCTGGAGCCCARCCGGTTGAGATTTCTGGCCACCTGTCTTTGAACTTCTTGTGTGACTGGGAAGAAGACATCGTTCGTGAGTCTGCTCTTGGTTTATATAATGGCATTACAGCATTTTCTGTATTACTCATGCTTACCAATCGTACCTTAAGCTCTAACACAGAATTCCCTTTTCTGCAGCAGTAAGGAAGAGAAGAGAAGGTGCTAGCCCTCTTATTTGAAAATCCTGCATGGTGAGAGCTACTTTTCCCCTCCAGTGGRGCAGCATGTTTTGGGAATGTGGCTCTTTTTGCTTATACCACTCTGATGCTTCCAGCTCCTCGTAGAGGAAAAGGTAGTTCCAGCACCTTGAGACTATCATTGCAGTGCAGGGCTCCTTAATCCATCTCAAGGTATGCTTATTTCCCACTTCTTCCAGCACTTTCCTCCTGCAACACACATGTGCATGCCTAATTTGTACCATTCTTCTCTGCACTTTTTTTGCATTTCTTTTTTTGTTTATGCTTCGGAGACAAATGAAATCTGCTTTTGTTTACTGGAAAGTATGCTTTATTTTCCCATCATTGAGCATCTGGTGTTTGTAAAATTCACAACAAACCTTTCCAATAGAAAATCAGGCCAGCTTGAGTTTGCAGTGCCAGGAGTTCACGTGTGCCATGATCTTTGTGCTAAAAAGGTATTGCAGTGTCCAAACCCTAGAAGGCAGCAGCCAAACAGGTTTCACATTGACAAAAAGCTACAGTAAAAAATTCATGGTGTCCTCCAAGGTGTGTTTAGTGAAGGCTGCAAATTACTGCAATGGCCAAGTAAGCCTGTGCTTAAAAGCTCCCTGCTCAAAGGAAACAGTGGCAGGCAGAGTTTCCTGTGGTCCTAGAGGTGCCTGCAAACAGTTGTCCTCCCAAAATAAAAACTAATAGCCTTATGTGCCATGTGAACGCAACTCGCTGTGGTAAGGTGACAAATGACTATCGTTTTGATAGCTGGAGGTTGTGTCTCCAAGGTAGGCACGTTTCAGGACAAGGTTTTTTTAAATGTGTGGGTTGAGGACTGCAGAAACATTCAAGAAATAGCCATTACTGGACATGTGTATAATTCTGCCACTTGGAGGTCAGAGGGAAAAACAAGGCCATGATGGATAAGATACTCTTGGACATCCTTTGTCATTGATAAATGGTTTCAGCCATCCACCAAAAGGTATCAGGGTTAGACCTTTTGTGCATGATTTGTACACAGTCTGCTCCCCATGGCATAGGCTTTCTATAAGCCTCCTAAATAAAAAAGGGTGAGGTGACACTTACAGGTACAGCATTTTCTCTGATGGCACCTTGGCACAATCATCTGAAAGCTGCTAAGGGAATCTGGAAGCTGGTTTCCAGCCATGACTCACTTGGCCAAATCTGCACTTGCCTTCAATTTTAATAATTTGGCGACATCCATTTATTTAATGTTTTGCAAAGCAGGGTCTGCATTTCCTCAGAGAAAACGAGAGCTGAAGGTTGGTAAAATGCCTTTGTAAATTGGAAGTTAAATTAAGAAAACACTTTAAAAGCACGGAGTACTGTTAGCTCCATATACCAGTGTCATTTATGACATTGCGAGTTGTGGTACCATTTGGAGGCATGGAACATTAAGAAGGCACAGGGAGGTGGATTGTTTCTGACATTTCTGAGACTTTTTATTTGCAGTTGGAATGTAATAATAGATTCATAGTTTATTCATTTCCTACAAAGTTTTTACCAACAATTTTTAATTTGGGAAAAAATCAGAATTTCAACATTTTTCAGTATGAAAGCAGTTTCTGATTTTTTCTGTTACATTTGATCATATTAATATTAATCCATTTTATTGTCTATAGTGAGTGTTTTGTTACGTGGTCCAAAAGTTGTTTTGTTTTGTTTTGTTTTGTTTTATTTTATTTTATTTTATTTTATTTTATTTTATTTTATTTTATTTTATTTTATTTTATTTTATTTTATTTTATTTTATTTTATTTTAAAATTATTAATGGTAGTTGCAATTTGATCTTGGTTGGGACATAGTATTTTTCCTCTTCTGTTTGTGTTCCAGTGAAATTGTAATGATTTGACAAGTAGTACATTATTCCAGCCATATGATGAAACACAATAGAAAAGACAGAACAAAACAAAACAAATCCAGCCCCAACAATTCTACACAATAACTACTGCCTTCTTTACTTTTTCACTGAAATAAGTACAATATGGACCCAAATAATTATGTTTAAGTTATTATTTTTTTTTTAATGAGAGCTGTTCATCAGTGTCCTAGTAAGAAGGATAAGGTTCAAGACTGAAGAATTCACACAGAGCAGCCTACGGTGCTCTTTGGCTTTGTGCAATTCCGAAGTCTTATCCCAGCCTAGCACTTGGACACTCTGTTCCAGAGACTTTTCCCCCTTTCTGACCTGGAAAGGAATTTTGCTTTATAATTAATATGCTGCAAGGCTTTCCGTTGTCTAAAGGTGTTCAAGTCATTGCGTTCATCAAAGCAACCAAATACGGCTTCTTATAAATGCCACCTAGCAAAGCAGAAGTTTTCAATTACTCCAGCTCCATGCCTAATACCAGTTCCTATAATCACCATCCTCCATTATTGCAACTTCCTTAAAGCAAAAACATCAAAGCAGTTCTCCTGTACCCTAGCTAGCTACTGACACCAGTTTGAAGTTAGGCCACCTGCATGTTCATGCATGGACATGTATGTCCAGCAATATCCTGGCTTTCATGGTGTAATACTGCAGTGGACTGTCCAAATCATGCAACATGCAGACCCCAAATGTAGCTTAAAAAAAAAAAAAAACTATGAATTGAGAATTATTTTAACTTGGTAGCCTGAAGCACAATCTGGTACATCTTGCTGGGAATTCCTTCTTTTCTAGGAGTTCAGGGAGCTTTGTGTTTGATAAATGTTTTGTTTCATGATGACCCTAAATATTTCATGCATTGTAGAGTGGGAACGTTGCAGAGATGTCAGCAAAAACAGCTGTGCCAATACAAACAATTCCAGGAAATTTTAATCTTCCCATTGCTGGCACATGAATCCCTTTGCTCTGTGTATGTACCAGGAAAGACCTAAAGGAATGAGGTGCGACAGGTGCATTTCAT